GCACCGGAATCACACCAGAGGTCCGCAGGCCCAGATACCTCCCAAATACCCTTGGAGCGGAGGGAAACTGTGAGTGTGGGCGGGAAGAAGGTCACCGCATGGAGGGACACCGGAGCACAAGTGTCAGCTATCCATGCTTCCTTAGTGGACCCCAATTTAATCAACCCAGAGATCCAAGTGACGATTCAACCCTTCAAGTCCAACTGTTTCGATTTGCCTACAGCCAAGTTGCCTGTCCAGTACCAAGGCTGGTCAGGAACGTGGACTTTTGCAGTCTATGATGATTATCCCATCCCCATGCTGTTGGGGGAAGACTTGGCCAATCATGTGAAGCGGGCCAAGAGGGTGAGAATGGTCACCCGTAGCCAGGCTAAACAAGCCGTGAGGCCTAGCTCTGTTCCGAAAACTTCTATCAGGACCCAGTCAGAGGTGATGGACCCGGACCCCAGGCCAATGTCTGCAACAGCAGTAGCGGATCCAGTCTCAGAGACCCAGACGGAACCAGTCCCAGAACCGGAACCAGCAGAACAACCAACACCAGACCCATTGCCAGCACTGAATCCAGTACTTGCAACCTCAACACCAGAGGGCCCCACCGAACCTGAACCGGCAGCAGCCGATATCCCTACACAAGAGGCTTAGCCGGAGCCTGAATCCCAACATAGTGCACCAGCGGAGAGCAAACCCAGTTTCCAGTCAACGGAAACAACCCCATCCCCTCCATCGCTTCCAGAGGGACCAAGCATAGGTCCACAATCCAATGAGGAACTGATGTCTTCAGCATCAAGGGAACAGTTCCAGTCCGAACAGGAAGCAGATCAAAGCCTCCAGAGAGCTTGGACGGTTGCACGGAGCAACCCACCGCCTCTCAGCTCTTCTAATCGATCCAGGTTTGTTGTAGAAAAAGGACTTTTATACAAGGAAACTCTTTCTGGTGGACACCAGGAAGACTGGCATCCTCAGAGACAGTTGGTAGTTCTAACTAAATACCGGGCCAAGCTCTTGAGCTTAGTCCATGATCACCCTAGTGGCCATGCTGGGGCGAACAGGACCAAAGACCGTTTGGGGGGGGTCATTCCACTGGGAGGGAATGGGCAAGGATGTTTCTACCTATGTCCGGTCTTGTGAAGTATGCCAAAGAGTGGGAAAACCCCAAGACCAGGTCAAAGCCCCTCTCCAGCCACTCCCCATCATTGAAGTTCCATTTCAGCGAGTAGCTGTGGATATTCTGGGTCCTTTTCCGAAAAAGACACCCAGAGGAAAGCAGTACATTCTGACTTTCATGGATTTTGCCACCTGACGGCTGGAAGCAGTAGCCCTAAGCAACACCAGGGCTAAAAGTGTGTGCCAGGCACTAGCAGACATTTTTGCCAGGGTAGGTTGGCCCTCCAACATCCTCACAGATGCAAGGACTAATTTCCTGGCAGGAACTATGGAAAACCTTTGGGAAGCTCATGGGGTAAATCACTTGGTTGCCACTCCTTACCACCATCAAACAAATGGCATGGTGGAGAAGTTTAATGGAACTTTGGGGGCCATGATACGTAAATTCGTAAATGAGCACTCCAATGATTGGGACCTAGTGTTGCAGCAGTTGCTCTTTGCCTACAGAGCTGTACCACACCCCAGTTTAGGGTTTTCCCCATTTGAACTTGTATATGGCCGTGAGGTTAAGGGGCCATTACAGTTGGTGAATCAGCAATGGGAGGGATTTACACCTTCTCCAGGAACTAACATTCTGGACTTTGTAACCAACCTACAAAACGTCCCCTGAACCTCTTTAGCCCTTGCTAAAGAAAACTTACAGGATGCTCAAAAAGAGCAAAAGGCTTGGTATGATAAACATGCCAGAGAGCGTTCCTTCAAAGTAGGAGACCAGGTCATGGTCTTAAAGGCGCTCCAGGCCCATAAAATGGAAGCATTGTGGGAAGGGCCATTCACGGTCCAGGAGCACCTGGGAGCTGTTAATTATCCCATAGCATTCCCCACCTCCAACCGAAAGCCTAAGGTGTACCATATTAATTCTCTAAAGCCCTTTTATTCCAGAGAATTAAAGGTTTGTCAGTTTACAGCCCAGGGAGGAGACGACGCTGAGTGGCCTGAAGGTGTCTACTACGAAGGGAAATGTGCTGGTGGTGTGGAAGAGGTAAACCTCTCCATGACCCTTGGGCGTATGCAGCGACAGCAGATCCAGGAGCTGTGCACTAGCTACGCGCCAACGTTCTCAGCCACCCCAGGACTGACTGAACGGGCATACCACTCCATTGACACAGGTAATGCTCGCCCAATTAAAGTCCAACCTTACCGGGTGTCTCCTCAAGCTAAAACTGCTATAGAACGGGAGATCCAGGATATGTTACAGATGGGTGTAATCCGCCCCTCTGGAAGTGCATGGGCATCTCCAGTGGTTCTAGTTCCCAAACTAGATGGGGAAATACGTTTTTGCATGGACTACCGTAAGCTAGATGCTGTAACTCGCCCGGACAACTATCCAATGCCACGCACAGATGAACTAGTAGAGAAACTGGGACGGGCCCAGTTCATCTCTACCTTGGACTTAACCAAGGGGTACTGGCAGGTACCGCTAGATGAATCTGCCAAGGAAAGGTCAGCCTTCACCACACATCTCGGGCTGTATGAATGTAATGTACTCCCTTTCGGGCTGCGAAATGCACCCGCCACCTTCCAAAGACTTGTAGATGGTCTCCTAGCGGGATTAGGAGAATATGCAGTCGCCTACCTTGATGATGTGGCCATATTTTCGGATTCCTGGGCAGACCACCTGGAACATCTATAAAAAGTCCTTGAGTGCATAAGGGAGGCAGGACTAACTGTTAAGGCTAAGAAGTGTCAAATAGCCTAAACAGAGTGACTTACCTTGGACACCAGGTGGGTCAAGGAACTATCAGCCCCCTACAGGCCAAAGTGGATGTTATCCAAAAGTGGAAAGTCAAAGAAACAGGTTCAATCCTTCTTAGGCTTGGCTGGTTATTACAGACGATTTGTACCACAATACAGCCAAATCGCTGCCCCACTGACAGACCTAACCAAAAAGAAACAGCCAAATGCCGTTCAGTGGACCGAAAAGTATCAGAAGGCCTTTAACAAGCTTAAAGCGACACTCATGTCTGACCCTGTACTAAGGGCCCCAGACTTTGACAAACTGTTCCTAGTAACCACAGATGCGTCCGAGCGTGGTGTGGGAGCAGTTTTAATGCAGAAAGGACCTGATCAAGAATTCCACCCTGTAGTGTTTCTCAGCAAAAAACTGTCTGAGAGGGAAAGCAACTCGTCAATCAGCGAAAAAGAATGTTACACCATTGTCTACGCTCTGGAAAAGCTACGCCCATATGTTTGGGGATGGCGTTTCCACTTGCAAACCGACCATGCTGCACTGAAGTGGCTTCACACCGTCAAAGAAAATAACAAAAAACTTCTTTGGTGGAGTTTAGCTCTCCAAGATTTTGATTTCGACTTCCAACACATCTCAGGAGCTTCTAACAAAGTGGCTGATGCACTCTCCCGTGAAAGTTTCCCAGAATCAACTGGTTAAAATCATCCTTGAGATGTGGAAAATATTGTTAGTCTTTATGTACTTGGTAGTATATTTAGAGATGCATGTGTCTTATTAACTCTGTTTTTCCTAGAGCTCCAGGAAGATATCCCAGCCAGTGTTTCACCCTAGCTGAGATTTGGGGACATGTCATAAATATAAAGGGAAGGATAAACCCCTTTAAAATCCCTCCTGGCCAGAGGAAAAATCCTCTCACCTGTAAAGGGTTAAGAAGCTAAAGGTAACCTCACTGGCACCTGACCAAAATGACCAATGAGGAGACAAGATACTTTCAAAAGCTGGGAGGAGGGAGAGAAACAAAGGGTCTGTGTCTGTCCGTACGCTGCTTTTGCCAGGGATAGAACAGGAATGGAGTCTTAGAACTTTTAGTAAGTAATCTAGCTTGGTATGCGTTAGATTATGATTTCTTTAAATGGCTGAGAAAAGAACTGTGCTGAATAGAATGACTATTTCTGTCTGTGTGTCTTTTTTGTAACTTAAGGTTTTGCCTAGAGGGATTCTCTATGTTTTGAATCTAATTACCCTGTAAGGTATCTACCATCCTGATTTTACAGGGGTGATTCCTTTACTCCTATTTACTTCTATTTCTATTAAAAGTCTTCTTGTAAGAAAACTGAATGCTTTTTCATTGTTCTCAGATCCAAGGGTTTGGGTCTGTGGTCACCTATGCAAATTGGTGAGGATTTTTACCAAAGCTTTCCCAGAAAGTGGGGTGCAAGGGTTGGGAGGATTTTGGGGGGAAAGATGTGTCCAAACTATGTTTCCCAGTAAACCCAGTTAGAGTTTGGTGGTGGCAGTGGATATTCCAAGGACAAAGGATAAAATTAATTTGTACCTTGGGGAAGTTTTAACCTAAGCTGGTAAAAGTAAGTTTAGGAGGTTTTCATGCAGCTCCCCACATCTGTACCCTAGAGTTCAGAGTGGAGGAGGAACCTTGACAACTGCACATATAGCTGTTGCTGCTTTGTGTGTATGACCTCTACTACAGCTGAGACACTAATGGACAGCTGCCTAGATTTGCCAGAATTTACTTATACAGACAGTGTGATAGCTGAAAATTGAACCTTGTTACTTGCAAAGCTAATGGTCACCTCTTAGTTTCAAAATCTCTCTTCAAGACAAAACTTTTATACCACCATCAACCATCATTGACTTTACATTTGTATAAATTACAAATACATACATGACAGGTTTCAGAGTAGCAGCCGTGTTAGTCTGTATTCGCAAAAAGAAAAGGAGTACTTGTGGCACCTTAGAGACTAACAAATTTATTTGAGCATAAGCTTTCGTGAGCTACAGCTCACTTCATCGGATGCATTCAGTGGAAAATACAGTGGGGAGATTTATACATACATGTAAATATATCTGCATATAACATACAGATATATTCACAGAGAGAATATAACTATCATTAAAATGCACTCACCATTTGCAAAACATCAGAAGAAACCATCTGCATGCAGCACATTGCAGTTGCCAAAGCACAGACAATTGTGGAGATGATATTGAGAGCACACACGCTGAACAATAGATCCTGTGAAAAGACAAACAGCACAATGTCACTTCTTTATCTTGGTGATACACATGACAGGATTGCAAATATTTTTAGCAGTTTTGAAAATAAATGCTGTCAATTGTTATCTATTTGATATAATCTTAATTAGCTTTGCACAATTCGCTCAGCATGTAAACTTTCTCTTATCCCAAACACACACACTAAAAACAAAAAAGAAAACTATTATCCAGAGAAGTAGCTGAGCACTAAAAATGTTTTTTAAAATGTTTTTGGATCCACACTCCACTGATGTTACACAAACTACTACAGCTTTTCTTGGGTACAAAATCCAACACACTGTTGCCAGAAAGAGAATATGAGTCTGACTTCTAATTTTTAGAAATACAATGGCCAATTTAATTGCTTTCAGTATTTTAAACATACAAGTTAGAATTTTATTTGCTTTTAAAAATGTCAATAGAAAAAATGGTGAGAAATAAAGAGTGGTACACTCTTATTCCAGATAGTCTGCACCTCTGGAATAGCATGATGGAAACCCAGAAAGACGGCAAAGGACAAAAGGAATCCATCTAGGTCTGTTACGTTGTGTCGAGTTAGTAACTGCACATGATATCTTTTGAAGAACAATAACAACAGGCACTTAAAAGAAAAAAACAGAACTAAATAATATATTGCCCAGATTTAAAAATACTTGAAATTAAAATAGCAGCATTTTCCTCAATACATTTGTAATTTTTAAAATGTATCCAGTTCTTAGAGCCACCTGATTTGCATGTAGTGTGTCTAACACTGGAGGAAGATAACTGTGATTTACAATATCAACACAAACTTAATAAGCTAATATACTTTCTCCATATTTAGAAATTGTGCAGCTGCGGCACAGCTGATATACCTATTGGGTTATATTGCTGCAAGCACATTGATGCTTGTAAAGAACTGAATGGCCAGGAGGTGAAAGTGGTTCATGGCAGATATTTGGAAAAAAACCCTATTAAACAGGGGACAATAGAACTCAATGGATAAAGAACATTCTGGAGAATCTAAGTCTTAATCTTAAAAACTATGACATTTCTGTCCCTTCCAATAGCTAAATAACTTACATGCTGTAAACCAATGTACTGTTATCTTGTTGGCTGAAGCAAGTCTGAAACAAAAGTACCAACAGATGCAAATTTATCGTTGCCATCTTAATTACATACTCCCCAAGTGACCAGCATTTGAAAATGGAAATCTGCCAACCCCTGGGAAGCACAGGAAATCCAGCAAATAGGTCAGTAAGTTCCAGTCACTTAACAGGATACACTGAGCCGGATCTGTTCTTGCTGCTCTGCTCAGCTGTTTGCTGGCTTCTCAGGCAGCTGGCTGGCACATGGGAATAATGGATCAGTTGGGTCCACAGCAGAAAGGCAGGAAGAGAGCCAGTCTCCCTCCCCCTCCCCACAATATGGAAGTGAAGGAGGACTAGTTCAAGCAAAAGCATGCACTGACAAACATCAAGAGTGTCAGGATACTTTAATGGGGTAAACTGGGGAGGCGCTGCAGATATTCAGCTGGTAAGCAGGTGGCACAAAAAGAGGAGAAGGAAAGATTGTGAAAGTTCTGGGCTCCAGAGGTGAGCCCAGGTGATGAGCAGGAGAGAGACAGACACATGACTGAAAGGGAGAGGAGTGCCAATGACCAGGAACAAGAAACTTGGTGCCATCAGAGGAACATATTCAAGTGAAAATCCCCTAAACAACAACATTCTAGAGCAGGTTCACCAAAGTAGTATACATTACAATAATTATAATATGCTGTTTGTATCCTCAGGCAGAAATATAAACTGTACAGTTCATGGATTCAGAAATCCACACATCCCTCACTAAAAACTCAGAATGTGAGGAAGAACACGCAGCAGACTCCAAAGAATACACAGATATTCATGGAATACTACATTTGACATCATCATCTCTAAAAACTTACTATTGCTGACTTTCAGTTTAATAATTTCTATCTCTTTCATTACCCGCACAGCAATCTGCTCTCCAACAAAGAAGAGACCCACCATCAACCAATGGAATGACTTCAGATTTACACAGGTGAAAATGAGAGCAAAACTTGACCATCTGTGTGCAACAGACTTTCATAATGTACCTGCAGTAATTTGCAGGTGCAACTGATGTCTTGTCGACCTCCTCGCAACCAAGTGACACCATAAATCAAAGTACTTAGTAAATGCCATCATTTGCACATATAAAAGATTGCAAGTGCAAAACTGCCCATACTGGAGCCAAAAGTAGCTCCAGACTTTGAAAATATGGGTTTGTAAGTCTCTACATGTAATAATAAAAACTGATGTGATAGAATCAAGATAGCCTCCATGGTTATTGTGTTCCGTAGTCCAGGTGGAACCCAAAAGTCTTATTAATTCACATGTGCAGATTAATATCTCCTATGCTCAAGTCACAAAGTCACAAAGCTAATATTAATTAGAGGTGTTCTAGGACAATTCTGTTTCATTGAAACTTTTGAGATTTCAAAATTTGATTTCATTCCACACTGAAAGAAAACCAAAACCTTTAGAATGTTTTTGCTAAAATGGAACGATGTGAAAATATCAATTTTCCAACTGAAACTCTAACTGAGCTTTTTGATTCAGAAAGAACGGATCTGTGGGTGAGTAGCTTGGTCACTAAGGCACTGGCCTGGGATGTGGGAGATCCATAGTCAAGTCCCTACTCTGCCTTATTGAGAGCAGAGTTCTTCATCCCAGATCACTCTAAATCAGGCAGAGAAGGGACTTGAACCTGTGTCTCTCCCACATTTCACACCAGTGGCTAAGATCCTAACTACTCCCTACCCCTCCCAAAACTTAGTTGAAATTGATATATCTTTGTGAAACATTTCAGCTTTGATAAAATGAAATCTCTTTGAAAGAGTTCCAACCAGGTCTAACAACAACATTGTTCTTTGTCCAACTGCAGGTAAAAATGGAAAAGTCTGCTGTTTCAAAACTGCTTGCTTATTCTGATCCTTTAACACTATACAAATTTGCAACAGAGAGCAAAAAATATAACATGCATAGGGAGGGAAAATTTCAATCCCTGTCTGTCCCACTCCCAAAAGCAACATTTCAGAAAAAAAGGAGGCACAAGGAGCATCTATGAAGAATGTTAAATAATGACTTCTCAATCTGAAGTAGTTCCAAGTCTAAAAGATCAATGTAAAGATATGAATGACAGGTCAAGTCAAATATAGAAAAACACAAATAAGATTTGCAGAGCACACAGTATGACCTGGATCCTCACAAAGTTCCTACTATAGAATACAGGCACCTGTAAAGAAAGAAATCACCAAACAAGATTTGAACAGCTCACCCATAAACCCCCAAATCAAACCTGAGCTTTGTATTAAAGGATTTGGTGAAGCAGGAATACCAAAGCAGCAGAAGAAGCAGCCACAATAAATCCCGTACAGGACAATTCTCTTGCTGACTCCTCAAGGCCCTGATTCAGTAAATCACTTAAAACACATGCATAACTAAGTATGTGTTAAGAACTTACTGGGTGAAATCTGTGCTCTCTCTTCTAACTGAGGTGTAGCACAGAACTTGCAGCCCAGGACAGGGGGTAGGGGCAGGGTAAGGTGGCTTTAATTTTAAGACATCTTTGCACCATCCTGATCTTGGGGTGTTTCAGGGGCTGGAAAAGCCTCCGGCAAAACTTAGACAGCCCTGTATGACTTACAGCAGATTCCTTGGGCTTCTCTAGGGGCCACAATACTGCTCAGAATCTCCATAGTGCTGTGCCCCTATCAGGCCATTCCAGCCCTTAACACAGCATAAAGGGACTGAAGTGGGGTAAGGATTTCACCCACTGAGCTCAGCACCTGCTTAAGTACTTTGCTCAACTGGGGTCTATGACTGCAAGAAACTGTCCTCTTCTCTGAAAAGGTCACCAGATTCATAGAGTCATAGATACTAAGGTCAGAAGGGACCATTATGATCATCTGGTCTGACCTCCTGCACAACGCAGGCCACAGAATCTCACCCACCCACTCCTGCGAAAAACCTCTCACCTATGTCTGAGCTATTGAAGTCCTCAAATCGTGGCTTAAAGACTTCAAGGAGCAGAGACTCCACCAGCAAGTGACCCGTGCCCCATGCTACAGAGGAAGGCGAAAAACCTCCAGGCCTCTTCCAATCTGCCCTGGAGGAAAATTCCTTCCCGACCCCAAATATGGCGATCAGCCAAACCCTGAGCATATGGGCAAGATTCACCAGCCAGATACCCAGGAAAGAATTCTCTGTAGTAACTCAGATCCCACCCCATCTAACATCCCATCACAGGCCATTGGGCCTATTTACCATGAATATTTAAAGATTAATTAATTACCAAATTCATGTTATCCCATCATACCATCTCCTCCATAAATTTATCGAGTTTAATCTTAAAGCCAGACAGGTCTTTTGCCCCCACTACTTCCCTTGGAAGGCTATTCCAAAAGTTCACTCCTCTGATGGTCACAAACCTTCATCTAATTTCAAGTCTAAACAGATAAAGAAGTTACTCACCTGGTGCAGTAACGATGGTTCTTTGAGATGAGTGTCCATATGGGTGCTCCACAGTAGGTGTGCTTGTGTCCCTGTGCTGCTGATCGGAGAATTTTGGTAGTGGTGTCATTAGGCCAGCACATGCGCTGTCTCTCCTCGTGCCCTACCATGAGCATGCATGGTCTAACCCCCCTCAGTTTCTTCTGTACTGCAGAGTCATTGATAAGAACTCCAAAGTAGAAGGGAGCATCCATACGGACACACAACTTGAAGAACCATCATTACTGCACAAGGTGAGTAACTTTTTCTTCTTTGAGGAGTGTCCCTATGCACTGCTCTATAAATCTCTGAGATTGGGACATTCTTGAAGAAGGCGATGGATGAGGAGATCGACCCTGTGGAGTGTGTACAAATAGTATTCAGAGGGGGTCATATTGCTAATTTGGTGACATTGTCTGATACAATTTGAGACCCACTTGAAAAGCCT